AAAATATATATATTAGGAAAGACAATCCTGCATCCCAAAATGTAACCCTGATTTAAGATTCTTCTACACTGATGTGAAACACTGATTAATATTTCCCAGGAGTGTTTACAGGATGCTATCTGTGCACAAACCACAAAGTATGTTTTTTTTTTTCCTCCTTAAAATATATATAATTCGTTATCAGTGTATAGAAAAAAAAATGGGCAAATTGTTGCCTAAAAAGAAAATTATAAGAAGAAACCTGACTTACCACCTCAGTGGGACGGAAGAATTTTGGGTCCACCCTAACATGGACCACCCCTGTATCTTTGCAACGACCAACCTCATTTTCATCCTTTCCTTCCCACCTGGAAAATTACAAAATATACAAAGGGAGGCTTGATTTTATTAACGTCAAAGATCAGGGACTATCAAAACTCAAAGGAGTCTTTATGAAAACCTTTGGTCTAAAAACAAAGTAGAGCTGAATGACACTTTTTCTTTTTGTTTTCAAATAAAAGGAATGGGAACAGAGAGAATAAACTTTCTCGGTCTGTGATTTTACACATTATGTGGTTATAGAAATGACCAGTGAGTACTCACACAATGGTCTTTCCAACATGATTGAAGGCCTTCTGTACAAACTCCCTCACGCTGTGCACCTCCCCTGTAGCGATGACAAAATCTTCTGGCTCCTCCGTTTGCAGCATCAGCCACATGGCCTGAAAGAGACAGAGACAGTGAGGTCAGGCCACAGACAGATCATAAAGATGGTTTGGTGTTCCACTCTGGACGCTGCCCAGCTCTACTCTGACAGACAGGAAGTGAACCTGTGACCTCTGAGCGGGGCACTCGCTTGTACCTCTTTCCTGACGTCACCAATGGGGACTCATGGGACGCAAACTGTGGGAAAGGAGGACAGAGAGCTCCCACAGGCCCACTGAGCTGCTGCCACACACAAAAATCTACACGTGGTCATGAAAACTCAAGCATTAAAGCAGAGCTGAGCAACTGCTGTTTTCCTAAACATTCTAAACAGCATTGAAAGACTAAAAAAGTGTTACTATTTCAAAGCGTCCAAAAATACTCTGTTATATGTGGGGCCGGCAGATTAGAACTGTGGACCTCTGGGACATCCAACATGACAGGAAGAAAGTCACCAGAGACACAAAGGCAGACAGGCAGACGCTGATGTCTTTAGAATCGAAGATGGCCACACAAACAGTTGGAGATGAGAGGAAATATAAAAGTCAACTAGAATGTATGTAGCAGCAAGGTGCCATTGATAAAATCTGCTACTTAATCATTTGATCATTGTCAGTATTACCACTTAGTGTTGGAAAGTGCCTCTTAGTGCTGAAACCTCCGGGCCACCGTAGATGTGACTTTAAAACAAATCGGACGTAGCTAATTCAAGCCGAGAAGGATTGCAACACACTGGCTACATAAGTGACAGGGTGCGTTTCAGTTAAAAATGACTGAACGTCCTGTTTTGGAAGATCTGCAAAAGACCTTCGCACAAATATCCCAAATATTGGCGTGTAGAGCCTGTGACAAGCTAGCCTCGTGAGACCATCCTGATCTCGCGAGCTTTCAAGGTTTCACTCGCAGATCAGTCTGGCTACTTTCTGTTAAAGAAAATTTGGAGCAGTTCACCAAACGAACGTCCAATCAGCGTTGGCTTTGAGGCGGGTTGAGGTGTGACGCAACGAGAAGTGCGACAGGTCAGTCTAAAGAACATGGCGGCTTCAGCCGATGAAACTAGCGTTAGTGGGGCTATCGAGCAAGTTTTATTGGAATTACGGAGTATTTCTTCACTGAAAGAAGAGCAAAACTGGAGGCTTTACTCAGAGGAAAAGATCTTTTTGCTCTTCTCCCGACTGGTTTCGGCAAGGAGAAGCCTGGCTTGTGGTTGTGTTTTCGTCGTCGCTCTGTTAGTACGTCATATGCTTCGTTGATCTGATTGGTTTATTTGGCTGGTCTATCACCAACATAGGCCAATCAAGCTAACCAGTATTTTCGCCCCTTCCCAAAATTACGTCAACGGAAGGTTTCCAGATGGATATGCGGAGCAAATCCATCTGGCGGAGTCAGATTAGTAATAAGCATGATGCTTAGAAGCAATAGCTGGGTGTACAGCTCAAAGTTACAGTCAGAGTAGGAGAGCTGAGTGCAGCCTTTAAATAAAACGCCAGCTTGTCACCGCCATCAGGGGACTTAACTTATCCTTGCTGTGTTAAAGGTTTGGTTCATGTTAGATTAGATTAGATTAGATTAGATTCAACTTTATTGTCATTACACATGTACAGGTACAAGGCAATGAAATGCAGTTAAGGCCTAACCAGAAGTGTAATAGCAGCAAGTGTAGGATAAATAATGGTTCCATAAATACAGGAAATGTTAGGAAACAGTTTTGCCCACTGCCAAGGTAAAAATATGGCTGAGATTGGTTTTGTTTCACTGACGATAAACAGTGCCAAATAAACCAAGCTTTTATACCGATATAACCTTTTGCCATGTTCTAGCTCTATGACCATCTCTATTAAAGAGTGTTGGTAGCAAAAACTTTAAAAAGAGGGACCGTTTACCCCCAACACTTTGGTAATGGGTAGCTCATTTTCCTGCCAAACAATGAAGATCATCATTATACAGAGAAAAAGATAATTAACCAATGGGAAACATTTTAGACAGCTCCCTCAGGAGTAGCCATTCCAGACATTTTTTTGCAGCCATAAAATTAACATGAGCTCCTCTCTATATCTAAGCAATGTTAAGTCACATGTGAGGCCATCTGTCTGAGAGCTAAAGCATTAACCAAACTAGGTCATCAATGGAACGATGATTCAAAGCACAGAGGTAGATCACAAAAAAATAATTGGTAAGAAAAAAAATCATGATGTTAATGGCTGGGTCACTGTCCAAGCCCCAACCTTGATTAAAAACAATATGATGGAACTTTAAGTGCTTCGTAGAATAAAAGATCATCAAACTACAGGAAAGACAAATGTGGAAACTTTCCTTCAAAAGATGTGAGAGGCTGGTATATACAGAGAGACAAAGACCAATGACGCATACGTTATTTCATACCATTTGTTTTCATACCATTGCTGCAAAAATGATGCCAACAGTGGCAAACGTTTTACAAAATGTAGCCATTTGATGTCTAACATTAAACAGGATGAGAGTCCACTGTGATCAAATGTATTAATCAGAGCTCTGTTTGTATAACGTTTACCATGGTTACCATAACCATAACATGTTTAGAATATAGCCTCATAGAAATACATGTATTACATTTCAAATTAGATGTTTTAACTGCTCATATAAGAAAAAAATGTTTTCACACATCTCTTTACATTCAGAATGTTTTAGTAAATTAAGTCAGTCAGTTCAGTCAATGGATGAATTAATGTAATATACAAAAATTTCAATGAACATCTCGATATATATTACATATATTAAAATCTCAGTCCCATGTTCTAATGCTTTGTTGCGATTGTTTGTAAACCTGTATCTTAAAGTCATAATTTCAGAAATGAAACACAATGTCCCATTATCATTGGCTTCAGTAAAGAGTTTTCATTTAGTGATCTTTTCCAACATAGCGTTGGTTTGCTTTTCACTTTATACCATTCCCTTAGCATTTAGTAAAACATGCTTACTTAGAAAACTGTAGAGGAATGATGCACAACACTGTAGCTATAAAAACATCCAACAAAAATGAAGCAGCAGAACTAATTTGGGGAAAAACAAACTGACCCAGAGGAGTTTTATCAAGACAGTTTATATGCTTGGCTTGCATCAGTAGCAAGTTAGGAAGTTTAATGAGATAAAGCAGGAGGTGTCACTCCAAACATTCAACAGATGCTTCATTCTGAATGCAGCCATATATGTCGACGCATCTTGAAAAACAAAAGTTCCTCAATTCCATAAACAAAACTCAATTATGTGATGAAAATATAGCTCTCAAAGGTATTCTAAAAATAGGACACCATTCAAAATTCAATGGGGCTACAGTATGTAATATGGATGAGAGGGCAACAACTATCATACATCTTTGTTTGTGTAATTCTTTTCCCCATTTGGGATGCAGTTATTTTCACATAATAATAATACATAACCCAATGTCAATAAGATACAGCTCAGTCTAACTTTAATATAAGCTGTACTTCTTACATCAGAAGCTCTTCAGACATCTTAAAGTAGGCTTGTTGGGAAATATAGAGCTATAGAGTGCCAATTGTGTTATTGGATAAGCACATGGCATGCAAGCACACACAAACATGAATGGTGATGGAATGAATTTCCTCAGGGACGCAAGGCCTTCCTATCGGAGGAATCGTTCAGGGTCATCTGACCGCTCAGCACTGATGGCTCCCCTGAGCCTGACCTCTGACCTCTCACTACTTGGCTGCTGATGTACAAAACAGATTCTCTCACACTGTTAAATAGGCCAAACATGTCACCTCAATATCTGAGTGACTAAGTAACAAACCAATCAGAGCATGTTCCACAATAAAAGCAGCATCCAGATATAATTTCTGCTGCTTCAAAAACTCTTGATTAATAATTGAAAACTATTTATTCAGCAAAATCTAAAAGATGGCAGAAAACCCTATTGCCTGAATAGCTTAATCCTAACCTATCATACAAAATAGCTAAGGCTGATTTTTGTTTTGTTCCCTCAGAAAGCTCTATAATTGAATCTCAACAAATTTCAAAATATAACACTATTTCAAAGATGTCAGCATAATTTAATACTGAAAAAAAAAACTGCTCTCATTAAACACCCTGTTCTCAATCCTCTTGGTTCTGTTGCCTGCTTAAATTAGAGGATTCCTACTAAAAGGAGCTTCTGATCCCTAAGAAACCTCCAGTCAACAGAATATAATATTATATTCTATTGACTGGATATTTCCCTAAAGCCACAGGGAAACTGAAATATAAAGCAAACAAGAACAAAACCAGATAAACCACAGTTTTGATGAAAAAACTCATTGTTTTAAGTAACATTTCCTCAGATAGTTGCATCAGCGTATTGAATGGGTTTGGTCCTCAGCTGTGTATTAGAGAGGTTTCAATTATTTTCAACACAACTGCAGTTAAACATTTTCCAATCTTTCTGTTAAGCTCTCCTTTTCTGAAAGGATACCACTGGCTGATCTACTGTTACTATTTACTGCTTGCTCTTTATTTTTCATTCTCACGTAAAATACTTTGTGTTCATGGATTCTGTGTTTATTGGTGTCTACTCCTGGCATGAAGACATCCTGGGTGTCACTGCTACAGGCTGCAACTAACAATTATTTTGCAAATCGATTCATCTGTCAATGTTTTTTTTCGATTAAGCGATGAATAATCGGATAGCCAAAGGTTCCTTAAAGGAACAGAGGCGGAAGAAGCAAAGACTGAGGGGTCAGTCTTTTATCGGAATTAAACCAGGTGAAAGTAAAACGTTTCCAGTTGAGGAGTTCTGGATAGAGCATATTCACAGATAAAAAATATTTATCTTAAATGCAAAACGTTTACATATTATATAACTATTTTGATATAACTACTGCTCTAAGTGTGTCACTCTGTCAGCTATAGGTATGTTTTAGAGTCTCTACTCCAGTTAGCAATTAATAAATTACTAAATTAGTTGAAGAATATTTGGATAATTGATTAATGATGATGCTGCTCAGTGCCACAATGGGTAGCACTGCTGCCTTGCAGCAAGAAG